GGGAGGGAGGGAAGGAGGAAGGAAGGAAGGATCAAAGAATAGAGTAGGACATTTGTATCATGTGAAGATGCATTTTGATCTAAACCCATCTCTGCTTCCTTGGTCTTCTATCTGCTATTTGCTCTCCGAAAGCTCCTACTTTTAAAAACCAGGCATTTAAGCATTTTAAGAATTTCAGCCACATAAACCCAAGACGTGACCAAAAGGACGGGTAACAGCCTCAAGTTTTCCATATGTTTTTCTAGGGGGTAACTGTCGCCCAATCTGCTTTAGACCCGCCCCCTGCAAACCCCCCCAAAAGAGAGGGGTACACTCACCGAAACCACGTTCACAAAGTCGTCATCCGACAAGGTTTCCAACATTTCAATGACGGACGTTCGGATCAACTTCAGGGTCAACCCACTGACGCTACCGCTCCTACCAAGGAGAAGAAACCATCAAAGACCATCCTTGGTCATCAGTGGACATCTCCTGCGCTCCTCTGGCCCTTTACAAGCAAGGCTGGGACAGTTCGTACTTGCAATCTTATCTTTTCCATGACCTTTGACCTCGTCCATCAGCCAAAGCAAAGGGCCTTTGGCAAGTTGAAATTGGAGATGAATAGTTCCTGGGGTTTTGGCTATGGTGCTTCCAAAGAAAGAACTTGATAAAGCTTCTGAATTACATGATGCTGTTGTTGTTTTTTTATGTGTAACCACATTGCAACATTTCTTTTTTTAATTTAGATCATTTTTAATTCATTTATTTTCATTTTTATATATAAATGAATAAATATATAACTTTGGTCTTTTAGTCCAACCCCCTGGTCAAACAGGAGACTCATACCCTTCCCTCCTTCCCTCCATCTTCCTCCTTCCCTTCCTTCCTCCCTCCTTCCCCTTCCTTCCTTCTCATCTCCCTCCCCTTCTTCCTTCCTTCCTTCCCCCTTCCCTCTCTCCATCCCTCATCTCCTTCCTCCCTTCCTCCCTTCCTTTTTCCCTCCCTCCTTCCTTCCCCTTCCTTCCTTCCTTCCTTCTCACCTTCCTCCTTCCCCTCCTTCCTTCCTTCCTTCCCCCTTCCTTCTCTCCATCCCCCATCTCCTTCCTTCCTCTTCCTTCCTTCTCACCTCCCTCCCTCCCCTCCTCCCTCCCTCCCTCTTTCCTTCCCCTCCCTTCCTTCTCACCCCCTCCCTCCCTCCCTCTTTTGCCATTCCGTCTTTAAAATTCACATCTTTAGAATCTGCTTTGGGATTTCAACCCTTTTCTTTCGCAAGGAAGAGCAGCGAGCAGCACTAGGTTTTTTTTTTCATCCTGTTGCATTTCAAAAGGTTATCAAAGCGAATATCATTTATATATTCATCCTATTGATACTTGTCATGAGAAGCACATCTCTGGGTGGTGTACCATAAAAATCAGCCTTCCCATTTTTAAAAACATCTTCATACCCATTGCTGTAAAAAGAATAATAATAATATTTTTCAATCCTCTGTATGAATGCTTAACCTTTTGGGGCACTTACGCATCAACGAGAATAAGCATATCTTTAGGAGAGGCGGCTCCTTGGATGTACCTGAAATAAAAAAAAAAGATAAGCCAATAGAAAAAGGTCAGAAGTTTCTAAAAGATCCTTTGATAGTGTCGATCTCTCAGCAAGGGACACCTGAAGGATCAAAGGAAGCTTCTTTGTAAACCCACGAAGGGAAAAAAAAATCTCATTTCCATTTAGTAGACGCCTGTCTGAATAACCATGAAGTTGGACAACTCCCAAAGAAACGGGGATAGGATTCAGCCGGTACACACCGGTTCGGGAGAACTGGTGGTTCCAGTAATCAGTTGGTCCCATCCACCTGCCCCTACTCTAGTCTATCCTTTATTTCCTTGTTTTGAAGCTCAGCTAATTTGCATGGCACTATGGATTTCCGTACCCCAGCTGTTTTACTCACTGGGGCTGCAGCAGCAGTTTTAATTTTTAGCTGAAAATGGCTGTTCTTAAAACACTGTGCACATGCTCACCAAACCGGTTGTTACACTGGTTGAATCCCACCACTGCCCCAAAGCCCCTTTGATATATACCACGTTCCGAGCTTCACAAAGCAACATCAAAAGGTTGCATAAGGAGAAAAGGAGTGGACCTAGCGTCTGCTTCCAAAAGTTGAAGAACCTCTACAATTCGGTGCATGGGTGTAAAATACAGAAGGTGGAGAAATTGAGAAATTAGGACCACCTGAGTTTGTTTCTATGGCTGGCTGGCTGGCTGGCTTGAAGTATGAATTAACAATCCAGCAGGAGGGAAGCTTTGAAAGTATGGGGGAGAAGAGCTCTCTGAAAAAGTTCTCCCGTGTTCCTTCTTCCATCTAAATTGCTTTCCTCCTTGCCCTCCGCGGAGCTGCTAATAGAAAAATTGAAGGGGGGAGCAGGTGGGCCGGCGGGGGAGGAAGGAAGGAGGCAAAAAGCAAAATAAAATTAACCCACCTCCCCGAACCTTTTTCCTCCCACTGGTTCCATTTTCCAAACTTCAAAGCAAATCTGTTCCTCCTTTAATTAAGAAATCTGAAAAACAGCAAAGGAACTAAGAGACCCTCCCGAATCAACGTTTGATTAATTTGGGTGACCAGTTTTATTGGTTTATTTGATATTTTAATTAAAGGTTTTTTTTTTTATTGCATGTACTCATTTCTTGCTCAAATTCTTGTTCTCTGCGAAGTTTAACGTATCGGTGCTTGGAGAAAACTGACTTCTGAAACTGCCTTTCAGAATTTGAAATCTTTCTATATCTATTTATCTGTCTATTTTTCTTTCTATCTTTCTATCTGTCTGTCTATCTATTTATCTATATATCAATTATTTATCCATCCATCCATCTCTTTATATATATATCTATCCATCTATTTTCCAGCATTTTAAATCTTTCTTCTTCTTCTTCTTCTTCTTCTTCTTCTTCTTCTTCTTCTTCTT